GAAAGTTATGAGAGAGATTAGAAAGCTATGAAAACTAATCAACGAGAGAGATCATCATCAAGGGATCGTAGATTTGGTTTCCCGCGGGAGACTGTGAAGTGTGATAGAGTAGGTTGTGGTAGTAATCCTACGTCTTTCACGATCCTAAAACGAACGCGTGGAAGGTTTGTCTAGCCTGGATCTAGTAGCGTGGAAGTACTCCACGCTAGCTAAATATCTGAGCGATGTTCATCATCATCTAGTATGACTAGCGCGGTCATTGAGAACCCTGTCTCTAAATGACTATTCACGAGAGACTCAGTCAAGTCATGAGTCGAACTCAAACCCTATCTAGGATCGAGTCGCGAATAAGGCTAAGAGCCGTGTATTGCATCTCTCTTTCCCCTTTTCGAACAATCCAATCTTGGCCAGCACCTTCTCACCCTCATCCATAGTCACCCATTTGCGAGCTCCAGTCATCTGATGGTAGGTTGCGTGCCTGAGAACAAGACGGTCTCGTGTTGGCTGGTCTATCTCCCAGTGGGCTTGTGCCTGGATCTTATCTAAGAGAGCCCCGACCGTCATGTGATCCTCATGCAGCTGCTTCCACTGGCTGTGAATCTCTTGGTTGATCTGGTAGTTGTCAACGATCTGTTTGTAGAATGTGCTTTTCTTTGCTGTGACTGTTTCACTCACCCTTTTCATCATTATCTTTCCATCGAAGTCATGCTCAAAGTGTGGGCAAGCCATGACGCCCATGAACATCACCTTTTTCGCGAATCTTCGACTTGCTTCCCTCCTTGGTGGATACAAGTCTTCTGTGCTCAAGTCTTCCCCTGGTTGCTTTGGAAGCCTCTTGATTTTTCTCCTCTTCGACTGCATATAGAACCACTTCTCATCAAGGAAAACATAGTATGGTGGACCAGGATGTGGCTCCCGGAAGCGATCGATTTCTTCCGAACAATCAGAATCTGAATCACTCAGTTCGGCTGCTGCAGCGGCTCCATCAAGATAATGCTGCTCCAGCTCTCGCAGTCTTTCCTGGGCCCACAAGAGCCGCTGTTTCTTCTTTTCCTCCGTAAGGATTGGTCGGCTGACTGACTTGATTGCCTTGCCCTCTTTCTTCTTGAACCAGTTGGCAAGCTGCCATCCGCTCAGCTTGATATGCTTTGTCTCATCGGGATCTTGTGCGGACAGACGACGCATTGCAAAGGCCGTCTCTCGGAAAGAGGCCTGGTCACCAACCTCTTCTGATGCCTGTGCTTGTCTGAATAGACTCAAAGTATGTCCAGGGTGGATGGCTTCAAATTGGTCGAGGTAAGTGCCACCTTGGTTGCCTTGCTTGAACGTTAATACATCATGCAACAACACCTCACCAGTCTTGACTGATTGCTCAAACTTCTTGCACCAAAAAGCAAGTCGATGGCCTTTCGGTGGCTTTGTATATCCCTTGTCGTATGCTACCAATCGACAAGCTGCAGCAGCGATGGAAAGCTTTGTCTTTTGAGGGAGTTTCGGTGTGCTGTAACCCCATGCCAGAGCGACACACAAAGCCATCCAGCGCATTGACTTATCAGGTCGTGTTCTCTTGGTCTCCAGTTCAATGAACCCATCACCGAATCGAGATGGCCTCTTTCCGTCGTTTCTTGTGGTAAAATTGAGTTGCCTTGCTAGTGTCATCTCTGGTGGTTCCATCCAGTTAACCGGTCGGATAAGATCTTCGATCATAGAAGGACTGAATGGGTTGAAGGCTTGCTGTTGAGGAAGCAATGTCTCCATCTCACTGTTTTCCGTCTCACTGTTGTCTTCTTCTTCGTTTGTTGGCGACTCGGACAGCTCTGGAAATGACAACGGTGGGCCGTCACCATCTGTTCCATACGTTGGAGTGAGAATGGCTTCCACCCCCTCTTCCTCAATATCCATATCATCAGCATTGGCGTGTTGCACTGCACGTCGAACAGTGATAGCAGTGGTGAAAGAAATGCGTCTTCTTGGGTTTTCCTGGGGAGGTGTTTCCTCGGTTGTTGCCGTCGGTGTGCTTCGTCGCTTTGATGGAATTGTCCCTGGGGATTGAGTCGATGAGTAAGCAGCCGTCCAGCAATCGATTGCCTCTTGCAGTTTACTAACTCGCTTGCTAGTCACACATCCTTGCTGGATGTAGTAAATGGGGCTCCTCTTGTGATGGAATCTTTTGAGTGTGTTTTGTGCATCCCCCAATGCTGGAGCATTGCTGAATGAGATGGTTGGGTTTGGCTCTGTACTCCTTGGTTTATTTCGAATGACAAACAGCATGCGTCTCTGTTGCTCTCCGTGCTGGATGTGATGTGCTTTAAATGAAACTTTCGAAGCTTTAAATCTAGAATTCAATGCATCGATTGCATCGTTGTCACAGATAGCCAAGGCTTGTTGATTGCTTGTTTCGGTGGTAATACCAATTGCAAGCATCATGTGCTTGAATGTAGTGTAGTCGATGTCTAGAACAGTGCAGATTGAGTTGTTTGCTACTGCAATATCCTCGGAGGTCGGAAGCACAAACCATCGTCTGTTCTGGAGTCTCCTCAAGAGGTCTTCCAGAAGAGAGAACGTACGATTAGCAACAAGTTGCCGTGGTTCCATTTCGGCTATGGCTACTAGCTACCTAAATCAATCTAGTTGCAGTCGTTGATTGGATAAACAGCATCTTCTAAACTGATTACATCTGGATGCATCTACAGGAAGAGTGGCCGGTTTATTCAAAGGCACGTTTAACAGTCTGCTCTGCAAACCTGAGAGCCTCTCCGAAGAGGATGGCTTCGTCGTCATAGGGAATTCGGAGAGTAAGCCGAGTAAAACCTCCGGTTGCTGTTGGTGGCAATGTCAAACACAACCTGAGAGCTCTGGTGTTGTTGATACTCCTCACTCCTTGAGGACGAAGCATCTCATAAGGGGCATCCACCGGCAAGCAGAAGACGGCGTCAGGGTGAGTGGCGTCATTGGCTGGCAATACAATCAAACGGAAAAGGTTGGAGTTGTTGAATCTTTGGAGTCTGACAGAGCCGGAAAAGTTTTGGATGGTTCCATCCACACGGACAACTTCCAATGCTGCAATAGTTTGCCCCGCTTCTACTCCGTTGAGCGTCATAACAGTGTCCCAACCTTGTTGTGCCATGATAAAAGAAAATGAGCAGTCGATCGATGTACGACCTGTCGACAAGAGGATTGGATTTGAATTTGAATTCAAGAAAATTCCCTCGGTTTTGGGGAGAACAGACTCCGCTCGACTGACCAAAGTCAAGGACACCGCGTCTCGATCCCACAATTCCACCAAGCAGCAGCTTACAATTCCACCAAGCAGCAGCATCATGCCAACCATCTACAGCAGTAGCCATTCCCACATCACTGTCGCTGGAGCGACTGAAGAGCGCAAGAAGGATGAATTGAAAGAGTCCGATCTGAAGAAACTCAACAAAGCAATCAACACAGCTGTCGACCTTGGAAAGACGCAGGATGCCAGGATGGATGCTGTCTTTACCAGTGATGTGATTGTTGGTCAGGACACGCTTCAGAAAATTGTCGGCTTCCTCGCAACTGACCACAAGGATGTCGAGAAAGTCGTGGATGCAACTTCCGAAGCAATCATTCTCAAGACAACATCTAACTTCATTGTAACTCTCAACTTTCATAGCATCAAGAACCGCCTTGAAGTGCCCAAAGCTCAGGTTGTTGCTTCTTCGGACGTCCAGGCACAAGACGAAGAAATTTTATCGATGCCTGGTCGCCGTGGACGCAATGGATGAAATGGACGCCGCAATCGCCGTAACTCCCCACCCCCACGCTCTTCGTTCTCACTCTCTGATGACTCTTTCGAAGTTGAGCCAGAGTTGTCCCAGCAGATGACACCTCTTAAGAAGATGGCGATGAAGAAGATCATGATGAAAAACACTTGAAAACAGCGGCGAAACGACGGGTATTTGCCATTGCGCCATCTGTTCTTTGTGTCAATTGCGGGCTCCTCTCTTCGATTTGAGGTGGTCGCAAGGCGTCTCCACCAAAATCAAAATAGCTATACAAATGCTAAAGTAGATTATTTTAGCCTATGATCAAAACTTGAATGGAGCTTCCGGCGTCTGCATATTTGACCTCGTTGTAGTCGAGTGCCGTTTCTTAAATAATGCGTCGTCACCGAAAGGTGCGTCCCCTCTAAGCAATTTTCAGCCCAAGCGGAAAGGTATGCATACTAGTAATTAAATTTATCAATTGCCCTTTCGTTCTTGAGATTGTACATACTTTGCCTGGTACCTGGTCCTGGTACCCTTGTGTCAGATGATACTTTAGAAGGTTGACACGACCAATGCTCTCTTGCTCTCTTGTGATTCATGGGATACACCTAAGTAGCAGCCTCTAGTCTTCTAATCTACCTTTGTTGTGGGATTTCATGTATGTTTGCACAAGAGATGAGTTGACTGGTTTCCCCTTCCAACCCCAAACCAGATCCTTGATAATCCCATGCAAGTGAGAAAACAGCAAAGTCAGCCCGAGCAACCACTGCATAGTACCAGCAGCAATTCGGTTTCGTAGCCAATGAAGTCACCAGCCACCAGAACACGCTGAAAGCTCAGTTATCCATGTGCCTCAACCCTACGCAATCAGCCTACCGATGTCCAGCTAGGATTCTGCCAATCTTGCCCCCAGTGCCAAGGGACTCGACCAAAATGTTCTGGCAACTTTTCCAAAGATCGATCTGTCAGAAAAACGAGGAAGTAAGTCAAGTTGTGTCCATGAAAAGGACGAATGAAAACAACCGTGCCCTTCTACGCTTTCACAGCTCGCTCGACATTTCAGGCTTGGGGACTGCACGGTGCCTTGTCCGAAAGCTACCCTTTAGAAAGGTTCCAACGAGTCTCTGGCGTAAGATGAAGAGTCGAACTCTCTCTTTCGTCCGCAGTTGCATGGCCTGTTGGCGCAAAATTGCAATATTGGTCAACATATACCAAATCTACGTAAGCCTGCATTTGTTCGTACCGGTATGCGTAAGATTCTAGCTAAATACTCTGTATCGTGTAAACGAAAGGGTGGTACAAGGTAAAGCAATACAATCCGTGCCTTGATGAGCAGGTTGCAGCTTGGTTAATTGTTGTATCATAGGATGACTGAGCGACTGGATAGGATACATGAAAATTGATCAGACACTCAGCCACATATCGTACTCTAACTGTTGCGTTTTTGGTTGTAGGGTATTGCACATTCTTGTGATGAACCGGTTTACTTGTCCGCCGCGGCAAGGGCTGGTTCGGTACTACTGGCAACCGAGGAATCCTCCTTGTTGGCACTTCCTCCTCCTGCAGCTTGAGTCGCCAAAATTGTGACCCAAACAATTTCAACAATATCAGTCGATTCTCTACTGGGATGACCCCATATGTGATGCAATGGGCCAGAGGCCACAACTTGAGTCCTGACACCACAAGAGGGATGGTCGTTCTCTTGATATCTTCCCAGATGGATTCCAGAGATTCTCGTTTCATGAGGCCCAACATGACAATGTATGTGTTGTTCCTGCCAAGAGAAAGTACAAGAGAACAAGCAAGTCAGGTTACTGCGTCCCTTGCCTCGTTCCACCACCAGCGGAGAAAAAACGGTGCTTACCAAAAAGGTCCCCACGTAGCCTGATCGATGGCCACTTTGGGTAGAAAGGACCACCATTGTGTCAAATGAAGAAAATTGAAAAGATCTTCGGAAATGTTGTACCAGCAGTGCGACAGGGGACCATGGCCGATCAATCCAGCCAAGAGACTTCGTAGAATTCGTGGTCGATCCAAGCTTCCTATGCTTTCCCCTTCTGTTCTTTGGGCAATGACATCCCCAATGGTGTATACGGTAGCCGATGTGACTGCCTTGGTGGAAACAGGACTATCGCGAAGGACGTTGAGGTATCCACCCCAATTGTCAGCAGCCATCCGAGCGCCAATCTCTTCAGGACTCCAGCCGCGAGTCATGCCGGCATTGACCATGGTTAACTTGTAGCACACAGCAATGGATACCAGCACAATGAGGGTAGTGTTGATCACTTCGTTGATATCAATTTGCTGGAGTTTTTGGGTGATGCGTTCAAGGGTGTCTTGTGGCTGCTGTGATAAAACCATTTCTTCAACACTTGCACTCAGCAGCTCCGACTCGGCTGCCTGATCGCCAATGGCCAGATCATCCGCTGCCACGGAAGAAGTGGAAACCTCGGACATGTGCAAAGTGGTCAAAGACGAGGGACTGTGGGTAACGAGAGTACAGCTAGCTCTTCTTCGGGTTGGCTTGGATGCAAGGGGGGCGGCAAGAGGAGCAACGCCTCCCAAGGGCTGTAGCTGCTGCGACGGAAGCAGAGAGAATCCATTGGCTGAAGCAGCCATTGCCGCAAACAGCAACACTCCAACGTTCGGAATGGAAAACATTGTTGGATTGATGGGGTACTAGCTGAAGGGAGAAAGCAGAGACGCCCTGTAGAATGTCGAGAGAGACTGATTGGAGTGCTCTGCCAAGTCACTGACTAGTAAACAAAGAAGATGGCAAACAGCTGCCTCGCCCTTGGTTAGTTTGTGACCGCATCGTGTTGTTTGCTTTGTTGGTGGCTACGGTTGTTGGCTTGTTGGTCTGTGGCCTCTGATGCGTTTTGCTGCTGTTTGCAGATTTCGTGTGAGGTGGCTTTCTCAAGTAGTGGGCAAGTATCAATTAATTCCAGATTCCTGCAACGTTGGTAACTCTTGTCCACGAGAACAGGAACCGCAACATGGCTCAAAGATTCGATTCCAATTATTCTCGATCTGGAAGAGAAGATTCTTCCCTCCGTCGGGAAGAAGTTGTTGCCTCTTGTTTTCTTTAATGACGTCATTTCTCGGTTGAAGCGGTGTTCGGAGGCGTGCAACCTGGAAGACAGTTTAGAAGGGTAGTTGAGGTAAATTTATTTATAAGGTTAAAATAGCATTTTGCAATCAAAATTGCGTTTTATTTTAAAAACTGGGAATTGTTTAGGCTTTCACCACTAGTAAACTATCGGGGCCGGTGGACCAGGAACATTACATCTCTGAAGAGACTATTCAGGGTTACTAAGATCTTCTCCAGGTCTACCAAGACCACTCTTGGCAGCCAGGCCTATTGCAGGGCAGGTTCTGATGTGGGGCTTGGAGATGGACAAGGAGTTGGTCCGGGCGTTGGGCTAGGTTTTGGTCCGGGAGTTGGTGCCGTGGTTGTCCTGGAGCTGGCAGCCAAAGCTATCCTTGATTAATTTTAAAAGAGAGCTGTGCATACTAATGGCAGCCTGATAGCCAACCAGAGGTCGCTAGCTAGCACCTGGTGCTGGCTGGACAGCTGAGGTAGTACTGCGGTTTCTCAGAGGTAGCTTTTCAGTTACCGGCACTGATCCTCTGCACCTGCAAGGGGACCTTGCAATTCGTAACCATAAAGCACATTTCAAAGTTTGTGGAGTGAGTGCGGCAGGGAAAGCTGTGGGAGTGTTCATTCAGACCGAAAGTGTACAAATACAGCCATGTACTAATTCATTGTTGTCTTGCATCGTCTTTGGTTGGTTGGTTGGTTGCCTTGTCTTGTCTTGTCTTGTCTTGTCTTGTATCGTCTTTGGTATTTTGTCCCTTTTGAATGTTGCCTGCATTACAAACCACCCACTAATAATGAAACAAAGACGAAAAGAGCTTTTGGCTGAGAGCAACCAGGGGTATCATACAAGTATCCAGGCATTGATCAATGTCCACATCATCATGAGCACCAATATTTGTGCCGCGGTAGAACGGGCACACCGTGGGGGCTTCCAAAACCACGCAAAAAAATTATGGAGGGACTGAATCATCAGCTGAGTCGCGGCCATGACGTTCAAAACAATCCCACATGTGCACGGATTTGGTGTCGCATCAACTGACATCAGCAGCTGACTTGGCAAGCCTAGTCGGGTTGCTGTAAAATCCCTAGATAGCGAAACGAAAGTGATGTTTCGTTGTTAAAATATGCTACCATTTAGGTATTCTGTTTACTCCTAATGGTGCCTTTGAATATAATAAATGTTAAACATTCACTCACACTAATGATTACAGATAAGGCATGTCTCGGGGCAGATGCTGCCTGTGCCACGTAATTGATGCGACCACTGCACATGGCTTCTGCCTTCTTTTGCATGTCGTACTGATGAATACAGTGTGGGTTGGCTACGGTTGTTTGTACGGAAGGCCAGGTGGCCGGCTGATGAGGTGGCAAAAAAGGCAGAGTGTTTGAGACTCCTCAATTATGAAGCGTTGTCTCGTTCAGAGCCGCCCTCTCATCCACTCCCATTCGACTACAACCAGCCTCTGTTGTGCTTTATCGAAAGGCTTGGGACCTCTTGATTACTCCGAGTATAGTCTCACGATAGAACAAGACAGGACAAAGGAACAAGATAGCAGACGACATACTGGAGTACTACTTGTTACTCGGCATTCATATTCTAGAGTATATATCTTCCAACCTCCTCGATCGAGATACCGTAGCAGTTGTTGTTGTTGTTGTTCTAGCAATCATGGCATCGTCGACCCCAATGGATACCGTTGTTGTCCCGCTGACTCCCTCGAAGCGCAAGTTGGAAGAGTTGGTTGATGAGGTAGCTCCATCCGCCAAGAGAAGCTCTGAATCTGGTCCTAGTAGTAGCAGCGACGCCAAGAGACCTTGTATAGAGCCGCAGGTTAACAACGAGAACAACAGCGACAAGGACACGGGAATACGAAAGAAGCAAGCTTTAATGGCAACTGCCCCGACGACGACGACAAACCACATCCACTGCTACCACCACCACTACAAGCCACCATGCCGCAATTAGCGCGTCCCTATGGAATATTCCTTCCATTGTCCCAAAGGATGGCTCCTCTGGGGGTACCACCAGCCTGGATAACATTATTGAAACCATGGATATTCCCTCATCACAGTGTGAAGGTAACCGGGAGCAATTACGTCAAGCTCTGATCCAAGGTTTCCAAGACACCACACCCGCAGAGCGCAATAATGTCAAGCCTCAAGCAGCGAGCAATAAGAAGACATTGTTTGAACCGCGAAACGGCGGTCTCTTTGCTCTCTCCACGGACGCACAAGAAGGAGAGGATGAGTCGTCCGACTCGGCAGAAGTAGCCACGCCTCCCGAAAGCGATCATGAGGATAACACCGAGACGAACCGACGAATGAGAAGAGATTCTCTGTTTGTGGTGGGTGCTGCCACCGAAACAGTCCCCCTCGCTGACGTTGATGCTGTGGAGGGTATGTTCCGAAAGGCGTCCGCCGTGGCGACCTTCGTTTGGTTAGTGTTGGTGGCTGCCACTTTGCTACTGTATTACCTCAAGCCAGAGGGCATCACCCTTGTGGATGACTACGATGATGATGGCACAGATCGGTTGGTGGCAAGGACAGGTACACTCGTACTTCTAGTCTCGACAACGCTGCAAATGACTCCGGTTATCATGATGCGAGTTCGTAGCTCCCCACATTTCCAACAACCGCATCACCAAGAGTACCAAGACACTTCAGTTTCCGGAATCATGGTGGCCGCACTGACCATCCTTATGATCTCCCTAGTTACCAATGCTCTTTTGGGATGGGGACCCCGAGCTGTTCTCATTGACCCTATGACGGGATCTCGCGTTTTCATGTTCCGGTGGTGTGAATGGATTCCACTCAGTGGATTGATGACGCTCCTCTCAGAATCGGCCGACCTGTCTACCAAAAAAGATGCTTGGAAGTATCCCATCAGGGTCTCCATTTTTCAGGTTCTCTCCACGGCATGCGGTATAATAATGCCATTGTGTCAAAGTTCTGCGCAATGGAACTTTGTCATGTTTGTCAGCTGTGCCCTCTTTGCGGCTCTTTTCCCCAGAGTTTCGGCGCGACGAAAGGCATTCTTCCAAACTCCCCGAGGGCGCACAGTTTTGGAACGAGAATACTACGATCGACGCAGATTCGCGTATGGACTCATGTCGTGCTGCGCCTTTTTCTGGTCCAACCTGGTAGCAATGTATTTTGTGAATGCGGCGATTCACTTCTTTTATCCACCAGGTCATTGGTTGAGGTTTCCAGCGTTGGCCATGGCTTGTGATACATTTGCTGATATTCTCGCAAAGGTTGTCTACACGCGGATCCTGGTCGAGGGACATCTCATTGTGTTTGCGTCGGATTTGCGGATGGTACGAAAGTTGAATGAGTTGAAGCAACTCATGTCCATGCTATGGATCTCGAGCTCGGATGTTATTGTGATTTCCACCAGACACTCCAAGAATCGAAACGCGACAATGCTGTCACCTAGCTTTCTGGCACTTGTCGGCGCCAAGCCACCTACAATCCATTCAAACTCCACCAACGAAGTCAGTGCGAGCTCTTCTTCCAACGAACTGAAACAATCTCTTGCTCTTGTGTTGGAAACGGACCACGGCCGAGTCAAGTCCGCTTATTACGTTGATACTGGAAGCATTTCAGGAGAACCATACCCGGAACGTATCGACCAGAGCAAGATTCCTCTGGCATACGAAGACTTGGAAAACAGTGCTGTCCTCCAAGCACTGCGAATTACCAATGCCGCGTGGAGCTCGCGACACTCGGACGAACCTCTTCGAGCATTGTCCATCACTCACTCCGATGAAACTCGGGACGACACAAAGGTCATGTGTGAAATGAAAGTCTCGCGACACACAGAGGAGACAGCAGTGGCAATTGTCCGCGATGTTACCGAACGATATCGCAGATTCGAAGCGGAAAGTCGAGCTCACGAGGAACAGATTGCTCGCCAAAGAGACATGCACACAGCAAATCGATTCACCCGGCACGAAGTCAAGAATGGTTTGCTATCAGGAATTGAGCTATGCCGCACTTTGGGACAAAGCCTCAAGGAGCTTCAGAAAATTCTACAACATAATGGCTGTGGCACCGATTACCTAGATGCCTTGAAACAGAGCTCAGCTCACCTCGACGAGATGGCAATGAAATCTCTCATGGACCTGGATGGTACACTCCATGGCGTGCTCGAGACAGTCCTGGCCGAGGTTATGGCAAGAGAGGTTGTGCACGGGGTGTACAAGCCGAGACTGGAGGAATTGGATGTCCCCTCCACGTTGGTATCGGGCTTGGGCATGAACAAGGACAGGATACCCATTATTATTGAAGGTGGCAGTATGCCGAAGCTGCTAATGGATGCTCAGCTTGTTGGCCATATTCACCGAAATGCTGTTAGCAACGCCCTCAAATATGGAGCTCAAGGCGGGCTAGTCAAAACCTTTGTGGGTTTTGATGTTTCCAAGAAGGAGTTCAGGATGGAGGTTACGAACGAGCCCGGCGAAGGCCATGCGACGCTATTGGGTATGGGCGCAGCAGCCTCCGAGTTTGTCTTTGCCCAAGGTGTTCGTCTCCAGCCTCACATGAAAGGCCAGACCGAGAAACTCGACTCATCTGGGGATGGAGCATGGATCATGCAGAAGTGTGCCAGCACAATGAAGGGGATGTGCCACATACACTTTACGGAAGGCTCGACAAGGTTCACGTTTGAGTGTCCAGCAGTTCCAGTGGCACCGAACAGTCAACCAATGCACACCGATTTTGTCGTACCGGACAATGTTTGGGCCATAGGGATTGATGATTCCAAGATCCAGCGCAAGCTGATGACTCGAATTTTCGGGCACGTGGGAGTGCCCACCTCGAGGCAACTGTTGCTTGGTGAGACTCCTGAAGACGTGATTGAATTCGAGTCGACACTGAACAATCTCATGGAACAGAATCCAGGGGACAAGTTCTTGGTAATTGTGGACGAGCACTTGGTAAGTCTGTCTTTCGCAATCCCAGCTATTCTTTCCCTGTTTGCTTCTGTAGTCTGAACAAATTGTCTCTTTTATTCATCGTACAAAGGACTACGACAATGTTGCATGCAATCAGCACGATGGAATCTATTCTGGTTCCTTGATAATGAAGCGCGCCATCGAACACATGCCCAAAGCTTACTTGTCGAGAAGTCTGATCCTGATGCGTTCAGCCAATGACTCCGCTGTTGACATTGCCCTGTACACCCAACGAACTCATGGCTACTTCCCCAAGGCCATCATGCAGAAGAACCGAACCCGACAAATCTTGGCACCTCTGTGGCAGGAGCGCTTTGCTGAGGAGTAATCCTTGCGCACTCTGGCTAGGTTGAGTCTTTCCCTTGGCATTTGACTGCTGGAAAACCCCCTACTACCAGCGCTGCTTTTACATCTGCACTTCCCCCACCTTCATCCTGAATCAACCAATCAACCATCAGATGATGTACATCTGCACGTCCCGCGCCTTCATCTACATCTGCACTTCCCGTACCTTCCTCCTGATTCGATTCGATCAACCACCACCACACGACGTGACATCATCCAACTTCGTACCTCCCTTTATTTTGATAAATCAGGCTTGACTTCTTCAAGTTGTACATAATGATTAGATAGTTCCACATTCCAGCTATATCATCTCTATCGCAAGCAATAATGCATGATCCCCATTCGCTCTGTGCTATAGCTACCAGTAGCTAGCCAGTGAGCCAAGCAACCTTTTACATTCTCTCAACAAAACAGGGATAGGATCAGTCATCCAGCCAGTTCCGTTGTACCACTGCAGCAACTACGGTACCGGTATGATGTAAACGAACCATCACTCCACTCTAGCCCTGGAAGGCCTCTTCATACGACTTTTAGTCCCGGATTCTTTCTAACAGCAATAAAAGTCGCGTGCAAAGTCGCAGGCGAGTCGCACGGAAGTCGTATGCGACTTTCTCAAACGAATTTTGAAAGTCGTGCCAAATTGCGAGAAACAACAAGACAAAGTCGCGTCGGATCGCTGAAAGTCGCGTATAAAGTCGTATGAAAGTCGCGTGCGAGTCGCATGCGACTCTCCACGCGACTTTCAGCGATCCGACGCGACTTTAAAAATACCACGCATGAAGGGGCCTTCCTGGTAGCTAGCCAAATTACAACTGAGAGTTTTGATGTTATGATAATTTGATTTACTTATCCGTTACGCCAGCCAGCGGGCAAGTAGACCTTCTAAAGAAGCAAGTAGATTGAATGTAAAACCATAAAAGGGCGATATGGCACGAACGGGCGCCCCGGAGCTTTCTACTCATGCTGCCATTCCTGCCAAAGACATGGCAGTAGGACTTTTCTTGATGATGCCAGATGCATCATGACGGCTGTTGTTCCATGGTGTCGAAAAAGCATGTTCCCCTTTTTGTTGTTTCGTCATGATGTATTGATGATGTTCTTGCTCTTGCTGCCTCAAGATCTTGTCCTGTTCTTGCTGATACCGGAACCAGTAGGTGGCTGGATGTACGAGTTCCACAACAGTAGTATCCGACTCATCATCTTGCTGCTGGTGCCACTTTATCATTTGCTTTTCTTCCGTGGCTCGTTGATAGTCGCACCCATCCGCCAGGAATTCCAAGCGGTTGCGTCGAGCATTCTCTTCAATCTCTTGCATTCCCATCCAGATTTGGCTTCTGGTTTCCTCGTCATAGTCGCGATGCGATGGAATCTCTCGTGTGGCATTGGTAGTAGACAACGCAAAGGTCACACGGCGTCGGTAGCTGCTGCTGGTAGAAGAAGAAGAAAGTTCCATTGCTGTAGTGTCATTGGAACTACTACTACTGTCTTTGTTGATGTTGGATGAAAGCTTTGGGATGGTTCTGACAGTTCCCATGGTGATGGATGGCTTGTCGCCAGTGATACTGGCACTGCAGGTAATGCCCAACCGATGCAAGAATCTGTGTCGAATCTGATGCTGATCTCGATGAATCTTGCGTCTGTGGCAATGCACATCGCTGTCATCATGGCTGCCCATGGTCTTGTTGCACGTCATGGTACGGTATTATCAAATCTCTACTGCTCTACTTCTTATGAGAATAAATGACGAGAGTGATTATGGTGGTGTAAGGGTAATCGGTATCGGTACTGGTACTTCCGCTTGGTAATGCTATCTCGTGTCCTTGGGATTATGAAGAGCTTTTGGTTGCCAACAAAGCCACAACAATCAATCAATCAGAATTCAATGAACTACCAAACCCAACCCCGCAACAAACTGGATACTGAAACCGCGTACTAGTATTGGTACTGTACTACCTGGTACTAATGTTCAGGTACTGGTAGGGTTGATGATGTTGTGTTGATGGATGATGGGTTGATGACAAACCTGCACGGGAACTCGTCACCGAAAAGATGAGGGGTCGATTTCGGAGAGGGCCTTCGAAGAACATCTGGATGGTCACTCCCGTACCGGTTCAAAATGATGATGTAATTATGACGTAAACTTTAAAAGCCGGCCGATTTATAAGAAGCTTCGAGATGAAGCCGAAACTGCCTCCAAGAAAGATCCAAGATCAAAAACGCACAAAGCACAGCCACAATGATCCCCCTTTGTTGGACGCATCGGTACCGGTAAGGGCAAGTGAACGGCGATTGATAGGATCCTTCAGGTGTACTATTCGTATGCATACTGTACGAGTAGAACACAGCTCTGCCACCAAAACTAAGCATCCTCCTCAGCAACCCTGCTCTGCTCGATTGAAAGAAACGAAACTTAGAACAAAAAGCACAAAAACTCCCACAACCAAAATACACATCCGACCTTTGGCTGACCTTTGAAGAACCGTCAATCAAACAACTTGAAAGAATTAATTCTTCACCAAGAAGAAAAAAGAGAGAAAGAAACCATGAAAAAGTCCATTGCCTCCCACTTGTGTTTTCTGTTTTGGATTTTCCTCCCATGTTTTGCTTCCGTGGCTGATGCACAAGCCGCCACTATTGGAGCCAATGGCCGAGTGGAGCGGGGCTCTCCTCCTACCATGGTTCAAGAACAAATGCAGCAGATTTTTCAAAAGCTTCAGGCGGCAACGACTCCTGAAGAGCAGGAGCCTCTGTTTCGTCAAGTATTGCAATTGGATCCGGACAATCCAGTAGTCCATTTTCAATTGGGGATGCTCAAGTTTGGAGCCGCTTCTCCATTTGTACGGGATCAAGGCATGAGCCATTTGGAAAAATCACTCGATAATTCACGTGGAGATTCTCCCGCTGCCTTGCCTTCTGCCGGTGGAATGCGCATGGCCATGATGTTGGGACGGTATCGATGGGAAATCAAGGATTTTCTAAAAGCCTTTTACTACTTGACATTGGCAAGTCGTGCTGCTCCAATCGTTCCAGGACCAGATGGCAATCAAGATACCTCCAAACTTTGTGTCGATGCCTCCCTTGCCACCATGTTGCATCCCTATCCCAATACCACTCGACAAGCCGATCAAATGTATGAACTCTACATGAAAACGGCACGCGAGTTTCTACAAGAACGCAAGCGAACGGGCTCCAAAACTCGTTGGAACGAACGCGAATTGGAAGTTGTCCCGGGCGCTGCCGAGGATCCCTACGTGCATTGCATCTTGACACTCTTTCATTTGTCCTTTTATTACCGAGCCAATGTCGCAGAAGCGGCTCGGTTGCATTATCAGGTTGCCACATCGGTATGGCCCGAATTGAAATACACGGCACCGTCGGTCGTTCCCAAACTACCCACCGTTCCACCACATCAAAACATCCACAACAAACCCTGCGTCACACGCAAAATCAAATTGGGCATTGCATCGGGATTCCTCTCGCCGGGATCCTCCGTATCGGCCGATTTTGGAGGAGTCATGCAACGATTGGATCGGGATATCTTTAACATCACGTACCTGCATTTTAAAAATGCTTCCGGAACTCCCACCGATCCCTTTGTCTACCGACATCAGAAAACACATGGCGACACGGTACTGACGTTTGCCAGAGATCCCAACGAACAATTCAACTCCGGTGCTTGGCCCACAACACTGTATTCCGACGTCGAAAGCTTGGATTTGGATGTCCTCTTGTATCTGGATCTGACCATGAGCCCCTTTGCCAATCGCATGGCCATGGCACGGCTGGCACCCGTACAAGCCAATTCGCATGGACATCCCGTCACCAGTGGTATTGAAAATGTCGATTACTTTATTAGTTGGGGAGCTGCCGAATTGGATCACGAAACCGCCAATACACATTACTCGGAAGAATTGATTCTATTGGATTCCAACGTTCCGCATCAGTATTATTCGCCACGCATGGAACGAGGAGTGTCCATGATGAATGGGGAATACTATGCCGACAAGACAAATCGACTCTTTTTCCGAACCTTCATGGTCCCGGCGGAAGTCCAAATCAAAAAGAAGGGAAACTTTCCACCGGGCATGTTTGACGATAAGGCCAATCACGTACGGTGGTACACCTGCATGCAAAAACCACACAAGTTCATGCCGGAACTGGATCCACTCCTCTGCGATGTCCTGGAGGAAGATGAAAATGGAGTTTTGATCATGCACCAACCCGATACACAAAAATTGGTGGAAGGCTTTGAACGACGATTACGGGCGGCAAACTGTGACATGAACCGTGTCTATTTCCTGCCCGCGTTGCCTCATCACATGTTACTGGCACTCTATCAGGTCTCCACGCTCATTCTGGATTCCTATCCGGCTGGCGGATGTACAACGACACGAGAAGCACTGGAATTAAACAAGGTGGTCGTCACGTTGCCGGCACGACTTTTAGGAGGGCGATGGTCCTATGCATACTACCAAATCCTCAACGACCCCATTCTCAATAAGCATGTTATTGCTTCGTCGCATCAAGACTATGTTGAAAAGGTGGGGATCCTGGGTGGCGATGTGAATTTGAGAACGGAAATGGAACAGCGGATTGCTGAATCCTTGCCCAATCTTTACCGGCAATGGGATGCCGTGCACTCGTGGGAAAGAGCCCTGTTGAAGATTTCTCCTGTGGAGAAACGTGATCAGTGTGACGCCTAAAGGAATCAATTGAGAATACTATGCACAAAACATACAAGTACACAACCGTAGATAGACATGGGTTCTCTTTGAATTGTTGTGTATTAACTTGCCTTTGGCGTACCGCATAGTTTTTGCAGTCGTGATAGAGAATAGAACGGGTACTTCATAAGCATGTCTTTGTATTTTTGGTTAGCTAGCTAGCTAGCTTCCACATCAAAGTAGTTACGACGTTCGGCGAGAGCTCAAGTTGGAGCTCTCTCTTTTCGCTTGTGGAAGCCTACAGACACTGCATCCCCGAATGCAAACCAAGACTCTCCAATACACTCCTCTTATCACGGTCGATTGAATGAATGAACAATTCTCTCGAGGCATATCAAGGCAAATGGCTGAGAACATCCTTAACCTCCTTTCTACGCCGTCGTGGATCAGCATAATTGCCCCCGCCAGTAGCATAACCGAACCATATACATCCAACAACTCGTTCTATCGACGTGTCGACGCCACAAAGGTCGGCAAACTCTTGTGTTTTCTGCACCGGTCCACTGGTCCATTTGGTGCCCACACCTTCACTCCACATGCTAAGCATAAAGTTTTGAATGGCGCAGCTGACGGACTTGAAATCCTCCTGTTCGGCGTCGGCGTCATTGGGGGAAATCTTGGTGGTAACCACACACCATCCGGGGACGGTGGTCCAATCGTAGACAGAGGAACTGCCATCGTCAGTTTCCATATTCTTGCGAATACTCAGGTTTAACTCGGCAAATTTGGAGATGGTTTCGGGACCAACCCGAATGAATCGCCAGGGTTCGCTCATGCTACGATTGGGTGCCGCAATGGCACATTGGACGGCCCGTTCCAAGACATCGTTCCCGATGGGCGTTCGATCAAATTGTTCAATGGTACGACGGCCCACGAGCAAGGATTGAAACGATTCGGCGACGGCCGTGGCAGCATCGGCGGCTTCTTTGTACCAGGGGAGAAAGTCGTCAAAATTCAAGGCACCGTCAGCGTCTTCATCCAAGTATCGAAAGAGCACATCGGCTTCGTCCTGGGTAGCTTCGACATCGAGGCTGCAGAGAATTTCATAAAGATCCTCACTGGAGGAAATGTCGCTACTTTCCGTGGCGAATTTCTCAAAGACTTCCAAGGCATGTTGCTCGACTGAAGATAGTGAATCGGATAAAGCAACCGATTGAACGGACAGGCTCTGTTGACGGAGTACCCTGCTGGTAGACGCTGACGGTGGTGCGAAGGCGAACGCCGTTAAAGCCGCATTCTGCGCCACCACGGCGACAATCAGAGACAGCGAAGGTCGACTGAGGCCCCACATCTCGCTCTGCTTGATTGAAAGACTGGCTAAAACTAACTAACAGTTCAGATAAGATAAGATAAGATACCCTTGATGTTGATTGTGGGGAAAATTCAGTAAGTTGTTGCCTCCGCTCTCCAAGTCTTCACGATAGCGATGACTAATGTTCTGTATCTTCTCTTTTTGAGTGACGTCAGCCAAAAAAGTTGACACCAAAGATATGGTGGGTGGTGTTCAATCGACCCCAAAGAAGATCTTTTGCTCGAATCAGAAAACAACGTCCAAGAAAGAAGTTTGGCGAATTCAAAATTTTGAAAGCACCACTGGCCAAAAAGATTTGAGAGGAACGCAATGACGGGCAACGAAATCATCCTTGCTGGCACCCTCACTATAGGGTTTTCTGAAGTTTGTTGTCGCCAGCAGCTGTCAGGATAAAAAGTTTATTATTACAAACTGAGTAAATTAGAAGCAGTGCTTCAACATCACTCTTGAAATTCAGAAAGTTGTCGGCAGTGAGACAAATGATCATTTTTGCTCGTCCGTGCCAGTAAGAACTTCCCGGTTGATTGAATCATTCAGTTAAAGCAACACGCACATGAGACTACTCAACAACAGAGTTCTCGCCATACTTGGATTGGCTTGCCTTGCTTTGGCATTGCAAACAACCCTCCTCTTGAGAACGGCTCCTAATCCCGCACAAAGGTCAACATCCATTCCCCAAGAAGAAAAGATTATTCGATATGCGAGTGTGGGAAACTCCATGCTGTCATGGAGCAACTTCCAAAGAATTCTAGAGCAAGTGTTTCTAGCTGCCGGGTACAAAGTGCAACGAGACTCATACCTCCGATTGGGGTGTAGCTTGTCATCCTTGTACTACGGATGGTTCAATCAACTCGAAACAATTTTTAGTTACATTGGATGGACAAACTTACAAGGTGTCTTTGTCAACAATGAGCAATGGGACTTTATAATGTTCAATGATCGGACACAATGGCCCGCCAGGGACGAAAGCAGACAAGAGACTGTGGGTGTGCTGAAAGAGATTTATGCCCCACTGTTGATGGACCATCAACCTCAAGCCATTCCAATATTTCTCCAAACCATGGCTCACAAAGAACCCAACATTAGTTTCTCGGAAGATTTGGGCGATTTCGACGAGTTCTCGCAACGCCTCATTGACGGGATTGCCTTGTACAAGCGAACATTGGACAAACTCTTGGGACGCGACCCCGACAGCAACGATGCCACTCGGATTGCACCCATGGGACGAGCCTACATCATTGGTCGTAAGAAATACCCGGAACTCTGGGAAACCATGTATTCTGAGGATGGCTTTCATATGAGTCAAAAGGGAGCTGTGCTTCAGTCATTTTTGATGTTTTGGACAATCACAGGGGAAGCACCACCCCCCTATGATCCGACTTGGTGGGACTTCTTGACGCGACGACAGTACCAGAGATCGGATTTGCCCAACGAAGAGGAAGCTGCACTTCTCTACGAAGTTGCTCAGTCGGCTTACGAGGAACAGCTAAAGCAACAACAACAGCCACAACGTCCACCCCCGTAGAATACAGAAAAGTTCGGTTGATTGGACAATGGCGTCACGGCGGTAGGCTTTCTCAAAGTTTGTCGCTGTGTGGCGTTGATCAGCTGAACTACGCGCGAACACGTACGATGTAGTATTGCTTCGAACCACACGGCTCGGTGTTGAGTGGCAACAGTGCCACCAGGGAAAGCACAGTACACGTGTACCGCTTCCATCATCCTTATCGACCACCTCCGAAACATACGGTAGAGTGGCAAAATGACACAATCATCAATTCTCCTTCGAATTCTTTGGGAAGACTGACATCTTCATACTACAACCGGTATCTAGCTGGCTACTGGATGTACCTGTACACAAACACAGCTTTGGAATCTTCATAATTGTTTGTCTAGTTAGTTTTAGTACAATAGTGTTGTCACGAGTAGGTTGGTACAGTAATTGGCAACCAAGAGCAATGAGCAAGCAACGGACTGCGTCACTTGGCCTTCCCCTACAGCTAGAATTATATTGCTAGAGAATTGCTGGAGGAAACCACGTCGTCTGGACCACCGCTTCCGGAGAACACGGCTTCGGGCTGTTCATCGGAAGGAACGCCGTACAAGAGATCGAACTCTTCGCCTGCGATTGTAGCACGATCACTGCAGACGTTCCCGAGCAATGCCTGTACTCCAGCTGCTTTGGTTTTGGTGTCTTCTTTTGAGTCTGTTGCAGACGACGAGCCGTACTTCTTTGCCCGCAACTTCATTATTCGAGTCTCAACGCTGTCCTTCATGACATATCGAGTGATGAGGGTAGTTCGCTGGGAAGCACGAGGATAGCATTCAAAGGTGAGCCACCGCGCAACCAAGGATAGTCGAATCAGCTGGTTCAAATGGAACATACCTTCTGGCCCAATCGATGCACTCGTCCGATCGCCTGGAGCTCTAAGGCGGGGTTGAAGCAGGGTTCCAAGATGTAAATCCGATTTGCGGATGTCAAATTGAGCCCCACGTTTCCGGACCTATTCCAAACAAGCGAACATAGGGCTGTCAGCAAAGATGGCAAGATTCGTGAAACGCAACAGGAAATAAGAAACTTGGTTACCTCATGCTCAACAGAAAGATTGTAGTCGGTGGGTCAGCTTGGAAGTCGTGGAGGGCTTTGGCCCGTTGTTGCATGGACATGCTCCCCTTGAGAGTTCTGAATTGGAATCCAGCCTTTGGAAGCTCCGATTGTAGATACTGCAAGGTGGAGGCGAACTGACTGAATACAAGGCTCTTGGATGTGGGATCATCATCCCTCACTCGCATCAGTTCTGTGATCAGCACCTTCAGCTTGCTCCGAAAAGCAACGTCCGAGTAGACGACTTCCTTCTTCCTATTTTTCTTCTTTGGTTTGTTGTCCAATGCTTCGTCATCGTCCACGTCTTCGTCATCTTCCTCTTCGACCTTTGGATCTTGTGCATCGCCAACAGGATAGCGGCCTCCAGCACATGCAATCCGCGACTTCATCAGTTTCTGAGTCAATTTGAAGTAGTGGCTACTCAAGGTTCCGCCGTGCTTAGCCTTGAAATCGAGATAGAAGGTTTTCGCAGCATTTTCAACCTCAGCATATTGCTTCCGTTCTCCAGCCTCGAAGTCAATCTCCACGGTGCGCTCTGTCTTCTTCGGAAGCATCATGAGAGTGGTGGAGGTTCCTCGGTAGGTTTGCTTTTGCGTGTGTCTCAGCATGATATTTCTCAGAAAGAACAGCAAATTGCCGAAAGAAGGAGTCTCCATGGTATGAACAGCGTGCTTTCCGACGGAGGGATCTACGGCATGTACAAAGGCAGTTTCCTTGAACTTTTCCATCATCGGACCCGCCTCTTCCACGCCCAGGAATGTTAGCTGATTTCGAAGATCGCCTAATGTTGTGTTGACGGGCGTGCCTGATACTAGCCATTTGTGGTCAGCCACAATTCGAAGCAACGCCTCCGAGCGCCGCGTGTTGCCTTGGCGAAGGGAATGTCCTTCATCCGCAATTATTCGCCACCATCTCACTTGCTCTAGGGGGGCCACGTAATCGGCAGACTGGGATTTTTTGGCATGGTAATTGGCGTCAGACGCTATCACCTCGTATGTCGTAACGATTATGCTGTTCTTTGCCAGGAGCATCGGATCACGCCGTCGAGATTGGCCGTGGTATGCATACACAAGACCGGGTTCCTTCAACTTTGATTTCGCCTCTTCAATCCACTGTCCGACAAGAGACACGGGGCATACCACAAGCGTTCCACGGCTTACAATGCTTCCTCGCTTTGAACAACCTTTGGAGGTCCTCGCGTACAAGTCTTCATCCCAACCAACACTGCCAGATAATGACGCTCGAGTCTGTTGCTTCAACTTCTTCACGTGGCTACCGGAGACAGGAGCTTCAGGGGCAGGATTACATAAAATGAGTGCCAGGGACAATACAGTTTTGCCCAATCCCATCTCTGATCCGATGAATCCACCTCGTACGAGTTGGGGCTTTCCTTTTCTAAACGTGGACAGGATAGGATTGAAGTAGATTTCGTTGTGGCTACCGGTATCGAGTGGTAGCTTGCCCCACCAGAAACTTTGGATTCCACCGGGACAGTTCTCGCGGTCAAGGGCAAACTGAACGCCCTGCTTTTGGAACTCAAGCAATTCAATGTTCAGACCTTCGCAGTAGGGCAGGCTACGGTGACCAAGGTTTTCAAGCTGCTCCAGCATCCCCTTGATTGAGTTCGTCGCAGCGATCAAACGAAGGCTGTCGTGTGCCATATTGGTAGCTGCGAGAACTACCTCATCATGTGACCCAACAAGACGCTCGAGCCCTTTCAAAGAATCCTGGGTAATTCGGGGCATCAGCCGAGGGATTGCCGTCGAATCGTTCATGCGACGGTGGTGCGACACAACGCCATGGTTAGACTCGATCCAGTAAGATTCAGAGTAGATACTATCCAGTATTCTGGATGTACTCTGATTTTTCGTCGGATAAGGAAGGTAACGATTGCTTCCTTTTGCTGCTTCGTATAGCCGCTCGGGGAAAGTCTCGGAACTGTATCGCTTGAGGCAACCGCTCAGGGACGTGTCATCCAAGCAAACACCACCGACCACATGTGAGCCAGAACTTGGAAGCAGTGAAAGCTTACCGCGAAATGCGTTCAAAGTCTTTTTTTGATCCCCAATCGCAGGCCTCATCGTTGCCCTTCGACTCGAGATAGCGTTCATTGATCTGTCTCTCTGACTCCAGCTAAACGGCGGACACGGAAGGAACTGGGATCCAACTTGCTCTTTCTCCCTCCCTTCTCTAGCCTTCAATAGTCCGCTAATGTCGGAGAGAGAGAAAGGATATATATCAAAGTATGCCCCAAGGAGATCAGCAAAAGATTGGGAAAGAGTTGAGTACCTTCCCACGTACATCTTCGCGTTCTTGGTGTCGAACATTGACGCCGACAAGAATAGACGCATCCGAAGGACGCCCTTTCGCGTAGATTTGTCAAACTCGGCCAAGATTTCTCCAGAGACCAGTCTTGCACGTGCATCACCATCCTTGGGGTTCGTCGCAACAGTTCCAAAACAATTGTATAGTACTTCCAAAAGCGATTTGTGGTTTGCCTTCTCCAAGAGTATCGCCTCGGTTTCCACCGCTGAGCAAAGCTTGGACTTATTGCCAGTTGGTTTGACAACACCGTCTTTTGGAACCTCTCTGACAATGGGAAGACTTGCCAGAATCATGTCAACTGTAGGGCGGGCACCAAAGCGATGAAGAAAGAGTTCTTCTTCCATGTCTGCCTCGTCATACGTCCAACTGTTCTTGTTTTGTTCCCAGCTCAGCTTGAAGGCATTCATTTCGAGTGGGTCATGAGCGTGTAGCCGAAAGGGAATGACCTTTTCTCCCAACGACACGTCGGTTGCCTTTGGACTGTAGGCAAAGCCAACGGCAGATTTGTTCAAGTCTTTCTCGCTGGCAACACGACCGCATTTGTGGCACCAATCATGACACCCTGTTGGCAAGGCAGGAGTCGCAAAGTTCATGTGCGAAAATCGGGTGTACCATCCACAATGGCGGCACTTGGTGAGGGTCTTGTCTTTTCCTGCCACCTCGTGCTCTGGAGCCCATGGTCCAATTCCACCGGCATGCGTTACCACCGCATCAATGTGAAGAGTCTTCGTAGGGTTGATTCTAATCCTTTCCTGCACCCAGGCAGCTCCAGTCTGGGTAGCACAGCAATGGGTGAATTTGAGATTATATTTTCCTGGCTTTCGCCATGACTTGCACTGCTTTGCCGGTTTGTCACAGGGATAGCACCAGCATTGACGACAGCATTCCTCGTTGTTAGCAATCACAGGAAAGGACAGGATCCTGCCAAAATCAATAGCAGCTTCTTGGAATTTGTGAGTAGGGCAGTGTTCCCGTAGATGGAACTCTCCAGAAGTCAGACGAGGATCGATTGTACTTGTAGCAGCTCGCATAGGGGATACTGTGGTGGTGGTGGTATTGAGTGCAACTGATGCTCTAGCAGCATTGGTTTGGACTCCTCCATTCCGTTCCAAATCTTGTCGTCTCTTGACGGCAGTAGTACGGCGTTGCGACCAAACACGGAACCCGTCGTTGGCGCAGCAGTGATTTCCTTCCATATCGCTCGACACGGCATGCGTCCAGGCGCAGCAATCCTTCACCAGGCAGTCGCAGGCAAAGCAGTAGCACATGTCACAGTGTTGTTCATTCACGTTGATGGTGTCGCGAGAGTAAAAGAAGTAATCAGACCATTTAGGAGTCGCGCTGTCAAACTTGTGCTCAGGACAATGCTGGCGCAAATGCGGCAACTTTTGGATATTGGCAGCGCCCACAAGTACCACATCATTATCGTCATTTTCCTCGGATGATGACTGTTTCGCTGGGACTATCTTTGGTGTTACTGGGGCAACAACTTCTACTTCACCGCTGCCGCTACCCTTCGTTACATCCATCGTTTGGACTTCATCATCATCGTCGCCATACCGTGGTTCCGACTTGACTTTGGTGAATGGTTCTGTCTTGATTTTCTTTCTGGCAAAGACGCTTGCTGGAAGTTTCTTGTCTTGCTCCTCATCATCACTGCTGCAGCAGAGGTCAATGACCGCAGCGCTGTCAGACGGTCGCTTCGCCATGGTCAAAACAAGGATCGGTCCAACAAAACAAACAAAGGTACGTGTACCCAGTTAACAGGCACTTGGCACGAGATTGTGAAGGTGAGTTGTGTCTGGATAAAATAAGCGCTCGAATGAAGGCCTCCCGGGCTCGACCAAGGCTTCGAAATGGCGCGATATCTTTACTTAATTACTAATTACATAAATAATTATTTAATTAATTAAGCAAAAGACACGTCACGCAAGCCGGTTGGAGGCAATGGCGCGAAAACCCTCACCCTACTTTTCCGAGCTTACGCGGACGTCGACTGTGACGCACAACCACAAAGCTGAACCTCCTCAACACCATCCCTGGAAAGAGCAGAAACCATGCAGAGCAATGCAGTCCAAAGGGCAAAAGCCAAAGGATCCCCTGCTCCTGAGGAACCATTGCCAAGGTTTACTGCCCAGGTACCGAAGAGGAAACGGAGGAAGCGCACAAGTAGGCGACAAAATTGGTTGCTTCAACTTTTCGTTGGATCGACCGTCAAGGGTGTAAAGGCTGACGAGAACAAGCCGTCTCTGCGGCACTTTCGAGTGTCTTTATGGGATCGATCCAATGATTCCCGTGGGCTTTTAATCATTGTTGCTACAGTGTTTTTCCTATTCACTTTTCTGTGGATTCACCACTCCCAGCGACGGTATTATTTCTCACCGTCAAGCGAAGAGGACCGATGTTGGTTGCAGGAGGCATTTCAACGGGGAGAGTTTCTTGTGGGATCACACCGATCCCTTGGAGACTCCAAGTTTTCACAACAACCAACTTGTATTGAAGGATTGAAACAGTTGCATGCACACAAAATTCATTACTTGGATTTGGATCTGATTTATGATCCGCAAACAAGGCAACTTGTGGTTGCACACCCGATGGAATTTCAAGGTACTACTGATTTCTACAGTCCGTGTGCCAAACTACCGCTGGGGAACGTCTTGACACTATTAGAAGAGGCCATGCCAGCGGAGTGGTTTGTATCCTTGGAACCCAAGGCAGACTGGGACCGAGGCCATCAAAATCCAATTCTCCAAGAACCAATGTTATTGTTGCAGAAGACTCTGCAGGTTATGCGAAAGCTCCATGTCAAGCCCAAGCAGTGCACACTATATGTGGATGTCAACAAAGTAAAGCACGAGGAATCTGTCGTAGTGGACCAACTAGCCGAACACTGTACGCTTTCCTTTGCCATTCGACGACAGGAGGCGTACGATGCCCAACAAGCGGTTCGACTCCAGCACCATGACTACATCATGCCAACAGTGGAGTACCACCCATCGCATCCCAATTATGCTTCGACAATTGGTATCAATGCACTAAGGGTGGTCCAACAAAGCGTACCCAAGGCAATTTATTGGATTGTGGATACGCCGCAAGATTTGGAACGAGTTGCTCTCCTGCGTGGGTATGGAATTGTCTCCAACCGGCCATTGGAAATGGCCAAACTGCTTCAGGATACGCGAGCGTGGTGTCCGTCTCCGGCAAACTTGAAGGAAGGCAGGCCACTAGCTAGCTACCGATAACGGAGGTAACAAACACGCGCAACCTCGCCGAAGTATCCTACCGGTACCTTGCAACCATAAATCAAGGGTTCAAGTCTTGCATCTGGCCCAAGTCCAGGACCTCCAATTGAGATTTCGCTCTGGCATGCGCTTGCCCCCTGGTCCAGGACACATGTCCCAACACCTACCACTGGCCTATTACCTAGATCTGCCAAAAGGCCAACGCCTAGTAGACCTCCACCCACATCAACAAATTGTACCTACACCAGGAGCTCTGGCTGGTCCAACGCAGGAAACTGCTCACTCCAGGACCTTCCCCTTGACTACTCCAGGTCCGACCCCATGCCTATCTCTGGTCCAACTCCAGACCCGAATGCTGGTCCACCGGCAGACCAACAAGTGGGCCTGCTCTGGGCCCGACTGCAGGTCCCACTCCCAGACCATCTCCAAGGCTCACCCGGACTGCACCTATGGACAGGCACTCTTGGCAGCTACTGTCATGTAGAGGAGTAGATCTAGGTTATCACAGTACAGAAAAAGATTTGTATTTGTTGACTCGGATCTGCTGCAGCGGAAATCCAATCAAGATTCATGCTCTCTGGAAAAAACTGAAGCGGGAAGCATTCTCTTGGCGGTGCTTATCACAGCATCTGTATCTCCTTGCACGGCAACAATCGCTCCCGCCACAGCGGTGTGAATAACGACGCCAAGTCCCCATCCCAACGTAGGAAAGACGAACCAGGGAGGAATCAGCAAAGTGGTAACCAAATTGATGAAGAACAAGAACAAACACACCACCGCCCAGATGGCCGCATGAATCAGAACGGTGCCTGCCGCCGCTTTTGACACGATGGATGGTTGGTCTATTGTTATTGACATTATCTTTGTATTGTTGTGGTTCCTTCGACGCACTTTTTAAAATAGACTATGTGAACCAACCAGTTTCAAGTTGCTCGTAAAGCACTCTCTTTCTTGGATCTTTGGATCGTGTTGCCACCGCTTCGCTTCGTCTCTCCTCTCATTTGTCGCGTCATTGCTTCTTGCTTGTTGGATGAAGCAAATTATCATTCGTGCCATAAAATACCCCATCTTCCAACCCAGTCCAAACCCTAATCGTACTGTAAAGAATCGAATCGAATCGAATCAAATCCCTTCCCACCAACCCTTTACCGGTACAGTACATCAGATTCTGTAGGTACTGGTACTGGTACCAGCTACTAGCAGGCTTGGGCCCCCCAGCACCCCACACCAATCAAAAGCAGCCGTCTTCCCAGACCACCTCCCGCACCTGCACGAAAGTGGCTAGCTAGCCAGACTCAATCCTGGACAGATGCATTCACCAACTCCAGGCCCACAAGCTAGGTGGTAGTACCCCCTGGACCTATTCTAGGTCCCACACAGATCTCCAGCGCTCACTCCTGTTGCCACGCGTCGACCCACTCCAGCCAACACCAGGCTCATCGCCAACCCTCACTCCTCCTTGTTTCCTCACCTTCTTCGAATATAAAAACTAACTGGACCACCTCCAGTAACAAAAAAAATGGTCAAACTCCTCATCAATAATGTTCCCTCAACAGAAACTAGCTCAACTCGGCTCTGGCTAGCGGGCGTTACAGCGTGCCGTTATGTGATGTAAAACAGACATGACCACACATAAAAAAAATTCTATTCAAAGTGGTACCTGCTACAGCTGTACCGCTGTACAGCTCATTGGCTGTTGTTCAGTGGGTCGGGAAGTTTGGGTTGTGGGTGGTGGGTGCAACGTGGTGAGTGCAGAGGGCAGAGTACTTGTACGGTACCGGTACTATAGAGTCAATAGTACCACAGCTCGAATAGCTTCATGAATTCTACGCCGTTCTACTTAACATCACATTGGAACATTGAATTTGAGGCAATAGACCTTTTTTTAAAAATCAAAAGTGGAGATTAGAATGACCTTGTGAATGTTTTTTACTGTTCCATTAATGCTTTAAGAAGCGGAAGGTTTTTGTGAGACGAAGGAAACGAGACAATAGGCAAATCAGTACTCGAAGGGAACAAAGTGGAGAAGGCCCTTTGAAACATCCAAGATCCCTACTAGCACTAGTATGAAGTCTCTATCTATCTGTAACTAACTAAATAAATACAGCAACAACAGCATTTACAGGTTGATTGATACAGTATTAATAGCAGAGAAAAGAGAGAGGGCTGTTTGAAGTGCCCGGCGCAAGTCAGCTTGGACCCATTCACTTCCTTATTGTGGTTGTGTTGGTTTTGTTGCAGTTGGCTCTCGATTGCCATATCTTCTCGGTATATCGGCGGCGCGAGCGTCCCCGGCCGGCCAGAAGCCATTCGAGCTGGGATATGGGGCCCGCAGTGAAGTACCAAAAGCAAAAACAGACTGTAAATAAAAAATTCGATCACCAAATCAAAAAAGTAAACTGCAATAACGAAAGGCAATGAGGTAGAGGGCTCATATGGAATTTGCGTACAACCATTGCAGTGGATGGATCAAGATTGTAGCCCTACTCAACAATCTATATGAGCGGGAGTCATAGCTGCCTTGGTTGTATAGAGTGCGCGTAAAACAATAATGTGCTTTCTGGTACTGTAAAAATTGTATGGGGCTATCATAACTGCTGTTTGGAAGATCAAAAAGAGTGGAATAAAGGTGCTGCTGAACGTGCAGCTGCAAGGCTTGTGTGCCAAACGATTGAGAGTTAAGAGGTGTATACCTACTCCAGCTATTTGTAGCTGCTCAAGCTGGGGGTGAACTGTTATTGCAAATGTCAATTGCAAAACGTTGTTTTGTGTTGACTGTTGGCAGTCTTTTTTTACTGTTTGTACGAGGGACTTTAATATTTTTTCTAAAAATGAAAATACAAAAGAATTCTTTAATGTAAAAATATATGTTTTTGTACGTTTTTACCAAATCATATTTATAATAGCTACATTGCACGACAACATTACGCGACTCTATTAAAAATTTATTGATAATTCTAACACATAATAACATAGCTCTAACACATAGATCCACAGTCTCTGACCCACAAAATGTAGTTCTAATCAGCGAAAATTTAGCTCTATTCGCGAAAAAAATTAACTCTAACGCAATGATATATACTTCTATCACCCAAAAATAAAGTTTGGCAGCTAAATTGAATGGCATAATACAGACAAATCCGTATGACACGCAATAAAGCAATTTCATTATACAACAAAAAAGCAACAACATGGCAAAGCGTGACGTTCTCACCACACAAATCTACACATTTCTAAATAATCACAATACAACAAAACTAA